ACAAGTTCCCTCCTTCTCCAGCTTCCCTGCTGATAATAGTGAAAAAAAAGAAGCAGGAAAGCCACTAAGTGGTCGGTTTGTGGCGAAGCTGCTCAATGATCTTTTTGGCATCCAGGCCAGGGGGGGCTGTTCCTGCGCAGGGCCTTACGGACACTATCTTCTTGGAGTGGATGAGAATTTGTCTCTCGGGATTCGATCGTTTGTACAAAAGGTAAGGATTTTCATTTTTTTCCCTTCACCTATTTGTCATATTTGGAACGTATTAGTTATAGCACGATGTGATTAATGATGGTGAGGATAAAAATATTTATATTCAAATATGAGTATTTAGTGCATCGATATTTTATAAAAAAAAGATTAAAATTTTAATAATATGATGGTTTTCAATTTTTCCCCTTTACCTATTTGTCATATTTGGAACGTATTAGTTATAACACGATGTGATTAATGATTGTGAGGATAAAAATATTTATATTCAAATATGAGTATTTAGTGCATCGATATTTTATAAAAAAAAGATTAAAATTTTAATAATATATTTAAATAGATTTTACTTGCAAACTTTACAAATCTAATAAAAGTAGAATGATTAAAAATAGTTTGAAAATGCATGTTGACAGGGATACGAGGGATTGAAGCCTGGATGGACGAGAGTCAGTTTTTCCTACTACATGACCGGCCAGAAATTTAACTTCATTCTCTCTGCCATCGAGTTCATCGCCGCCAATGGCCACCGTTTCCTTTCGCTTTATGATTTCGATTGGAGGACAGGGGATTGGGCTTATGGAAAGCCATTGATCCCAAATTACATTACTGGAATAAAGAAAGGGAAAATAAAAGAAATGATAGGCTTTCAAAAAAGAAAAGAATCCAATAGGTTCGCAAAGTATTTGAAGAGAGCTTCGAAAATTGTGGTCTCTCTTCCGGAGAAGCCGCGTACGAGAAAAGTCCCGGAAGGTGTTGACAGTGACATGATATTATTTATGATCTAGATATGTACCAATTATTAGTGAGATAGGAATATGCTCTATATGTTGTTGTCTACCTGAAATTTGAATTTTTGCATAATAAGTAATAAATTTTACTAATTTTTATAGATGTATAGTTTATACAATTTAATAATTTAGCCCTTACGGATAATTTTTTTGGCTCAATGTCTGAAAAAAAATAAGTATTTTGTGATTTTGCTCATAGTTTACTAATTTTTATAGATGTATAGTTTAGACAATTTAATAATTTAGCCCTTGCGGATAATTTTTTTGGCTCAATGCCTGAAAAAAAATAAGTATTTTGTGATTTTGCTCATAAAATTAATTCCACTCATAAATTTATAAGTGACCTGTGTATAAATAAAATCATATGTTCTTGCCATTTTGCTTCATGACATTTCTTTCTTAGACCATGTTGCACATGAAATCAAGGTTCATCCAAGGTTTCTACGGCAGAATTTCAAAATGTCAAGAATTATATAATTGAAATGAATTAGGTTCAGAGTTGCCACTCTATTAGAAAGGTATAGGATATAGAAAATGAGATTTATTACTCCATTATATATGATCAAGAGGTATGCATGCCTTATTAATGTAAAAAATATGAAACTTAAAGCCAGATGTTACAGGATCAGGCAAGCCTACAATCTCCTCCATATGATGACGAATTTTCAAACATGAGGCTTATAAATTATATTTAATATATTTGAGAAAATAAAGGTTTAAACTTACATCATGTCTAAGTTAAGAATATTAGACAAACTATCTAGTCGCATGTGATAATCAAAGAGTTGGTTAGATGGATTAGAGTGTTATCAGCATCTTAAAATGACAAAATAATGAAGTTTAGGTTTCCATACGAACTATATGTATAAGTTATCTATTCTAAAGTGAATCATTGTCTTTATGAAGAGTTATAGGATCATAATATGACATAAGCACCAGCAAGGCTAGTGGCTGAAAAGTCACATGTTCAATTCCAACATGATGACACATCAAATTATAATTCACTACTACTAGGATCACACATTAAGTAGATCTTTGATTTTAAATTTGACCTATGAAGGGAGTGACATATAACCTTATAATTATACTATAGCCATTAGAAAGCAAGAAAATGCTGATGTATCAAAGTATCATCAAAGTAAATAAGAGGTGAATAAAAGAGAATATAAATCTCCAATAATTTAATTTTTATGAATATTCACACTACAATTTCTTATAAAATAGATGTTAGTCATACACAGTAAGAAAATAACTTTGATAATGTCATATGTCATATATAATTAGGCATCAATCACAACTATCGATGTTATGCAGTCCAATACAATCAATTCTAACGAATTATCGTTTTAATAAATGAGCTTTAAAAAATGCATGCATGAAAAATAATACATACAGAAAATACATGACAATAATAAACCTTATGAATGTGTTTTGATGTTAATGATATCATATATCTTCTATTAAAATAAAATGATTTATTTTTTTTTTAAAGCCGTTATTCTTCTTCATTATATGATTCATATAAAACCAAATTTTCACAACCTATGTTATGTAAATTTTATTTAATGAATTATGAAATGAAATATATGCAAAAAAAAAAAAATGTGTTATGCTTGGATCAAATCATTTTCTATAATTTATTAGATATTAAACTATAGGAAAATATTACTTAAATATAACCATTATTTTTTATCTTTATTTTAAATACATGTAATGTTCATTTATAATATTTTACAATTGATAATCATGATAAACTTTTATCTTAAAAGATATATTAAAATTTAATTATGACTAATTATCAAATATTAAAGTAATTTACTTTTATTTAAAAATGTATAAAGTGTTCATAACTGCGTGAAGTAATGGATTGAATGATGATTATGTGTGTTAAAGTTAAATTGAAATATCTCCTTATATTTTTATTGTTAAATTTATTTTAAATAAATATAATTTAAATAAAATACAATCAACATTTTTATTATTTAATTCCTCAAAATTTGATTATGAGAAGCTATATTTTAAGATGCATAACTATATATGGTATTGAGGCTTTGTGAAATATGTGTATGAATGCATGTCAAGGTGGGTGCTTGATATCATGACCATCGAGTGGCAATGCTTGATAGCAAGGCAAAATATCACCACAGCAAACTTTTGAGATTTTCTAAACTATTGAATTATATCTATTTTCTCAGGGGCATTTACATACATATATAACGTTCTATTTCTATGTATTTACATATCAAAAACTTTGCTTATTTTTACCTCTCAAAATTTTCATATCACATAAAAAATATCACTATATTATCATTTATAACATGAAATGCATTTTTTTCATCTATAATTAATATGACGTATATATGTTAAACTTGAAATTTAGATTAGATATATAAAAACATAAGAATTGAGTGGAATTTATGTAAATCTCTTTTGCTTAGTATGAATTGTGTGAAGCTATTTTTTGGGTGCACTGAGAGATTGTGTAGGTGATCATTTAGTTAAAAAAAAAGGGGTTCTGATTTATAACATATAGAGTATAGACTTTAGACTTGGGTACATATATGACTGTACAAGCTATTATGAATTTATTAGTACAAAAAATTGTATGCATATGATATAATATTTATGTATTTATAAATTTAATCTTTAAATTTTCATATTTATATTAGTACAAGCTATTATGAATTATATATAAAAAATGTTCTTAGTAATGATTTTGTTGATTTCAATGTCACATTACTTCCTGCATGCAACAATCAAGCCTTTTCTGAAATACTAAGTTTATATGAATTTATCTTTAATATTTGTCTTTCTCTTGCACCAGAAGCAATAAGTTCAAAAGGTTTAGTTTAATATCAATTAAATTATATTTTCATTATTTTTTATGTTGATTCGAGAAAATTAAGTACAATGACCTAATCTAATAATGTTTAAAACACTTAAATTTGAGTTCAATTGAGCAAAAAGTAGCACTCAATGCTCTAATTGAAAATTAGGGGTGAGCATTCGGTCGGCTTGGATGAATTTGTTTTCAAATAAATTAAACCCATTGCAACCCAAATCTGAAAAATCACATGAGATGACTCCACATCTCCAAAATTTAGCAAGTTATCGAAAGCAGGTAATTTTTATGAGGAATAGTTATTTAAGTCTTATTTTTACACTTAGTTATTTTATTATTTCATTGTATTTTAGATGTACCATAAATTAAATTTATTTTCTTAAAAAACTTTTCACATACTTCTCATTTTAGATAGCCACCACAACCCCATTTGAGGAATTATTTTCTTATGACTTTATAGAAATTTCTATGGTAAGAAGGTTTTTTTCACCCTGGCTTATTAAAGTGTTGGTTGTAAAAAAGTTATTGGGCCATTTTTTGGAAAGAAAAAAAATATTTGTAGTTATAATTCTTATTGTAACTTTCTAAAAATTATTTTCTTCACCACAACATTTTGATCAACTTTTTAAAAAGTTGCAGTCACCCTAAACAAAATCTAATTCTTTTTTTTTTGTACTTTCAAATTTTAACATTTTTTATAAACTGTTGAGAAATTTTATTTATTTTATCAGAATTTAAACTATGAAGAAATTTTTCTAAAAAATATCATATTCAAAATTTTGAGTTTGTATTTTCAAATTTTAACATTTATTATAAACTGTTGAGAAATTATATTTATTTTATCAAGATTTAAACTATGAAGGAATTTTTCTAAAAAATATCATATTCAAAATTTTGAGTAAATATAAAGAAGATAATTGAGGAAAATGAAAAACTAAGATCAAACTAATATTTTTGGAAAATTGAATCCGTACATCATTGATATGTGTGCAAGAATCTCGAGAAGATCTGATGGATCACACGAAGAGAGTTGATGCACTTACACTCGTCATTATAACAATTGGCCTCTAAAGCCGACCAAACGAAAGATTAACCGACTTAAGGAGCACCACTCGCCCACGTTGATGACTACGTTACCAGTATTTACCATTGGAAAATCAACAACTGACCAAAGGGAATTCTTTTTTTATAGACTCATCGACCGAAGGCAGGTTGTCTGTCAAATTACGGTAATAAACCCTCTACATGGTGGAACATCTTTCCCATGGACAATGAGTCACCACAACAGGTCCACTCGAGAAAGGCAATTGAAGATCATCCATCCGATCGATGGACTTATGACCAGCTAAATGAATACCAGGTGATCAAGCTAAATAGTTACAAATACGAAGTGATGCTAAGGGCAGTTACTGATATGGAATAAGACCTACATTGGTTAAATGGTCAAAATATGTTTGTTTCAGTTACAAATATGTAAAGGTATAATGACTCATATATTATTATAACATCCCCATTAAAAGAAAGAAAATCATGTAACTTTTTATGTCTTTTCTATAACTTATAAATAGTAATGACGTATTCACTGGGGGACAATTGAACAATTTCACAGAAACTGGGTGATATTTGTGTCTCATTTCTCTTACACCCTTTCCTTCTAGTCGATCAATGCTTTATTCCTTAGGCGTGATCCACAGGGCAACTTAGGATTCAACATCCAAAAAGATCCAATAAGTGTGAAATCATGCCTTCAACAAGACAAGGATCATATCGAGGTGAAGGAACACATCAAGGAGAATTCTCCAATGTGAAATATGTTCGAGAATTCGTGCAAGAATAAATTTAAGAACTACATGATCAGATGGTAAGAAAAATTGTAGAGTTGACTAAACTGGTACTTGAAGGGAGGGCGCAGCCTTTTTCCAAACTGATCATCCATCAACACCTGAAGTCTAAGCTCAACCGACGGCCCAAGCCGCCAAACAAGTGGAGGAGCTTTAGTACCACGACAGTACCAAGTCTACGCCAAAGGGGAGACCACAACCAGGAGCGATATAAGTCTACCCTCAGATGGGGAATGCTTTCCACCAGCATGTTGTTGAAGCTGAGCCCCCATAGAAGTTTAAGGTTCCCTCCTTGGAACCGTACAAGGGTTAGA